GCGCGGTGACGTCACGAGCGGAGCCGAAGAGAGCCGAGCGGAGCCGAAGATAGCCGAGCCCCGTAACCTGGCAACTACGCAATGCTAATCAACAGCGGTGACGTCACGCTAGCAACAGCGTCCTATGCTATACGCCACGTCACACTAGCAACAGCGCAAGGCTATATAAGCAGACTCCACAGCAGTGTGATGATCAGTTGAAACATAGCAGCCTGCGAGTGTGCGATAACTAAGAAGTCAGCGAGCGGAAGACTTATTGTGTGCTTTCCAGACATAGTGATTGCTGTAGTACTCGGAGTGTGTATTTCAGGGAGACTCGTATAGCTCCCGCGTTATCAGTACGTGAAGACAAGTGAAGATTGTGTTAAGAGATTTTGTTGTAGGGTTTGTAAAGTGTGGAAACCCATAATATTGTGATCATTAATTGTAGCCGATATTTGTAGATTGTTAAATAAACCAATTAACCATCTCTACGGCGGCTTCAGTAACGTAAACACGTTACATTATTATGACATTGTACCTTAAAGTTGTACAGGTGGGACAAAATTAAAAGTATGTTGTCCAGCTGTTTGTTTTCCACTTCGTGTTCCAGTTGATGATGCTCATGGAACTTCTTAACAAATACTTGTAGTATGTGAGCTCCTGGAAAGAAAAATAAGTATTAAATACTGTTCCATTTGTTGATGGTTTATTTAACAGTGCCTTTTCAGTTGCATGATGTATGTACATAATGCAACAGGATGATTGAGAATAATGAATTGCTAAGAATGTGCATGGAGGAGCCAGTATAGTGACTGACTATGGACTGGACGACCAAGGACTCAGAGTTTGGGTCCTGGTAGGGTCAAGAATTTTCTCTTCTCTGTAGCATCCAGACTGGCTCTGGGGCACACCCAGCCTCCTATCCAATAGGTACCAGAGGCTCTTTCCTTGGAGGTAAAGTAGCAGGGGCGTGAAGCTGACCAGTTAGTGCCAAGGTCAAGAAAATATGGATACATCCACTCCCCCATATGCCTTCATGGCTTTGTGCTATTAGTTAATGACAGGGACAACTTTTCCTTTTTTTTTTTTTTTTTAAAGAATGTGCATGGAACTAGCAGTGGCTGACTAAACAACTCTGGTAAGAGAGCATAAGAGTTCAACACCACTAATTCCAAGTCACTGGACATTACTTTAGGATAATTTAATTTATTCTGAAACCCAAACATTCGTTTTAATATTGTCCTCGGCTTTCAAAGCTGTTATACCACCAAAATTCTGTATGCATTTCCTGTTTTCCCCATACAAATTAAATGCCCAACATAACTTCATTGCCATAAATAATTCCATGGAGCAGAGACCATCTTGAGAAGCTAACAGCAGCTCATCTAGTCAGGAAATTCCCTGCCTTTCATGGAACCTATAGGTTCATTACTATGTTCACAAGCCTTCCAGCGTCTGTACCCTGAGCCACATGAATCCAGCCCACACCCTCATATCATTTCTTTAACACCTTATCCATTATCCTTCCATATATGCATAGATCTGTGAAGTGGTCTCTTCTCTTTAGGTTTTCCAGTGCTAACACAACTACCATGGCATCCTGTATAAGTCAAGAAGTTCAGCATTAAGTAACTTATTTCACACCCCAATTACTTAATCTCTGTCAATGTCCTGGTAAAGATTTGAACTGGGGACCTCCTTCATGCAAGTCAGAAAAACTACCACTTCAGGCAACATGCTTGATTATGGTTTTGTGATATGCACATATTTTATTATTTTTTTATATCTTCTACTAGGTTAATTTCTCTGGTAGTCTATATAAGAACTTCTGCATATTTCTTTTTGTTTTACATTTTCACATACTCTATTAATGTCATCATATACATGCATGTGGTGAGGTTCATCTGATATTGGCCATCACCAGCATGCAACCAAATGTACAAGTATTTGAAATATAAATGTGTTGTAGCAACAAACACTGACCCACTTCAGTACCAACATTAGCATGCAGTATGGCTACTAGCATGGCATGCTCCATGATGAGACGTTCTGGGGTACTGACTTCAGCCACCAGTGACTCAAACAGCAGGTCTGTCAATGATTCGTTCACACTGTTGCGACTGTGAGACATGTACAACTCTTCTATCTGTAAAAATGGTTTCATACGTCAAGATTTCATGTTTATTTTGTTAAAGTACATCACAAAAGACACCTGACTTCTGTGCTTTCCTAGTGGCCACACATCAACCATGGCGCTTCACACTAGCTCTCTAAATATTACTGCTAGGTACCTCTTTACTAATTTTTCCTTCAGGTTGAAACATTGGCAATTCAGCATACCACAGTGCAGTGTTACCACTGGAAACCTAGCTAGCCTCTTTATTTGTGACTGTAACACTTGTTTTTAATTGATGAATATGGATCTAACCCCAAATTATGTATAAATCATTCCAACAGTCTAGGGTCATAATTCTTTTGAGAATCTGACAGCCACACAAATATTCTGGTCACCACAAAAAGGTGACTTGTACTGTCTATCTTAAACAGATGAATACCAAATTTAAGGCAATGGCTAATTATATGAATTAAAAACAGACTGGTATGACTTAATTAATCTCTCATGTGTGCTTTGCCATATCCTCTGTGCCACAAATGACTGAGCGAGATCTACCAGAACTTCAAATTCCACCTGGAAAATTAGTTGCCACACAATTCTTAAACCCCTTCCAGTTCATATTTCATCTCTCTCCAGAAGTTTATGACATGCCAAAGATATACCATTCATGCTTGTCATTGGCCACATGCTGAATGAGCATATATATGTCCTACCTGCAAGGCAATGCTATTCATATTGTTCTCAGCCAAGCGATTCAATAAGCCTTTCATTTGTCTCTGCAGCCGCTTTATATGTTCCTGTTTCTTTGGATCTTCACTCAGAGTACTGCCCCTGACATATGGTGGAACATACTTCTCAGTATTTGCCTAAATACAGAAATTAATCAATAAAGAACATGAAATAAGTGCATCAGTAATCTTATGCACTTAACCTTTCCCTCTAAAGAACTGATTAGTCAATGAGGTTGGTTCTGATAGAACTGCCATGATATGATCTGACCAGTGCTTAGAGACCCATTTTCTGTTTGATATACTGGGCACAGAGGTCTCTTCTCTTATAAACAAAAATTAAACTCCGTGGCTTTAATCCACAAGTGAACTATACTAACCAAGCAACCGCCACTTGTCAGCAAAGTTAGTGCCAACTTTTAGTGGATAGAGGGTGTTGTGTGGTCAGCACAACAAATCCCCACAGCTGTTAATTTCGGTTTTCTACACCGGCTCTTCTGTTTTTCAGTTTAGAAAGAAAAATGGGCTGGCACTGCCCTAGAAATATGCTGACCAACTCACCACACAAGTTAACGGATACCAGTGCTGAGTAGATTAGTCTGTCTGAACACATTACAAATGATTTATATTCATGTACAAGATGCAAAAGGAAAATTAAGAAAGATTATAACATTGTATCATGGCATCCTGTTGCCCATCACTGAATTTTTAAATATCTGTATACAGTACATGGCAATGCTATGGGCCTGCAGCTTAGAAATTGTTGCATAGCTTTGAATAGAACAGGGGTGTGTGTCTGATCTCCCTTGAATCAATGATGGTCTATTGTGCATTTCCATGGACTTAATAATAAGGCCAGCAGTGTGAGGGAAAATATCCAAATGACCATGGTGTGAAGTGTATGTCCTCATTTGAGGAAGCATAAATTAAAACAGCATCCATTAATTGTACTCCTTTTGCACATCTTCAGTGTGAATAATACAGTTAATGATACTGTTTCACATAGCTTTCCTTAGCCAAATATATGAAGAATCTGGTTAAAGTGCAGATACAAGTTTGGGCCCTGCAGCATGGCACTTTCACATGAAGAATTAAGATAGTACTCAAAGATCTGACCCTTTTATTCCAGTGATGGAGGCATCATGTTCCTCCAAAACAGTGGTATCTGTCTACAGAAATACATGGTGTCACATCCCGCAAGATCATAACCTTCACTGCATAAATGTTATGCCAGATTCAAATCACAAATAAGTGCTCCTGCTAAGGATCATGAGAAATAGAAAGGGTACGTATCACCGGGGCACGCAGTAGCTTAGTTTGCTGAGGCACTATACTACAAGCTGGAAGGTCACAGGTTTGAGTCCCGATGAGGTGGATATTTTCAATTGACTCAATCCATCCATCTGCATTAGGGCTCTAGGGTTGGCTCAGCCTCTAATGCAAATCAGTACCAGGAATCTTCCTGGGGGGTAAAGAGCGGCTGGCGCGTAAGTCTGACAAACCTGCCACCATCTGTGAGCCGACTGCCTAGAAAAAATGTGGGGCCCTCAACATCTCAACCCTATGGGCCTTCATGGCCTCTTACAGGGATAGCTTTACCTTTTTAATATATATCACTGATGATGTTATGTTCGGGTGGATTGAGTTACATTAATTTTTTGACTTTACTAACTCCAGCCGCTTAATTACTGTAGTTGAGAAACTGGAAACACTGACATACTAGTCTTGAGCAGAAATGGGTACCATGGAGGGAATCGAACTGTAATCACTTTTATTTAGCATTTGCTACTAATAAATTCTCACCTTAATCACCCTGCCTTGCTTGTCACGAGTTCTGCCATAGATATCTTCCCAGTACTCTTCAACCTCCTTCCAATCCTTCTTCCCCACTATATCTCCTGCATCTTCTTCACAGACAGAACCAACAACATTACAAGCTACTGCTTCATCAGATGTTATACTCACTACATCATGGTTTTGTTCTTTTGTTTTCATTCTTAGAGTTTCCACTGAATTAACATTTTCACTTTCATTGTCACTGTCATAATTTTCTTCAAGCTTACCACACTTTCTCTGGTCAGTTAATTTACATTCCTGCTGTTCCCTTTCATATACAAGTAATCTTTTACTCTGTGTGCTTCCTTCAGTGTTAGAAACTGAACAATCTTCCGGTTTGCTTCTCTTCCTTTTCAGGCCCCTTTTCTTTGAAGCAGCATTCTCTATTATGTCATGAGATTCATCATAGTTTAAGACATGATTATAATTATTTACTTCCTTTTTGTTTCCATTTAGAATCTGTTTGCTGACTGTTCTTTCAGAATCTGAATAAACCTCCATATCAGATCCAACACTGTCACTGTTATCATAACTGACTGTTTCCCCAAACTCTTCTACACTGGCCACTATCTCATTATCACTACCTGTAACTTTATTTGATGTAAACTTATGTATTTCACTTAAAGTATCATCATCATCATCATCACTGCTGTTTATATTGATGTCATGCTGTCTCGCAGTACTGCTTGTTTGACTGTTGCCTGTGATCAAAGCTAAATCTTCCTCAAATTGTGAACTGGAATCATGTAATGTTAGGTCCATCATCGTTCCATGCTCCATATTCTTTTGTTCACATACTTCCAACAAATCTGAACAGTGCTAAGGAAAAAAGAAACTTGAAACACTGTTATATCTGTATGGCATCTGACATTTTCAGAGCTGTGGTCTCTCTTCTGGGATATAATGCTGTGTATTCCCTTGAAAGTCAACCAACCTTTGAACAAACATGTCACATCCATCTTCGCAGTTCAAGAGTAAGTCCAGAAAGACACCACCATCCTTCACTTCAACACTGAAAATGGATGTGACATGTTGTTCTGAAAAGTTGGTTGATTTTTCAGCACACTACACAGTGTAATATCCCAGAAGACAAAAATCTTCACCGTTATATCTGTTATGATACATACTGCAAAATTATTATACGTGTACACACTATTACACAGCATCATCATAAAATACCAGCAGACTTACAGCATTACTAATACTAGCTACTAAAATAAAGTGATATCATGACTAATATATATATATATATATATAAAGTGATAGTACCTCAGGAGAGGGTAACTAGAATGATGGTTTCAATATGAAAATAATGTATAGACATTTTTGTAGAAGGATACAGTCCAACCCATCTGTAGTGAAGGATTTTGGAACTGATTTCTGCTTCCTTTTATGTAACTTAAGCTGTTTTTCCAGCTTCTTAATTACTTTGTCTTCCTGTTGGTTTGCTTTCTTTAGCTGCTTGATGCGCTGATTCTTCATGTCCATCTGCAATTTCTGATTTCTTTCTCTTTCACTATATTTTTTACGAATCTGCTTCTCCTGTTCCTTGCTGACTAATATATCCATATTGTTAGAAATTTGCTCTTCGTGGTCTGTATTTCCATTTGTATTTCTCTTTAATTTACTTTTCTTTCTTTGAAAGAATTCGTTCCTTTTTGCTTTCTTAAGTCTCCTTTGCTCTTTCCTCAATTCCTTTCGTGATTTATGGATTTTACCTTCCGTTTCATTCCTCTTCTGCCTTATATGACGTCCCATTGCTTTCCTCTCATTCAGTCTGATTCCTGAAATGGTACGTAATGTTTAACTTTAGGCATAACCTTGTGTTTATCACATTTCTCACATCTCTATATATACTTAGTAAAAAAAAAATATTGTACGTAGTTCTCAAGAACATCCAAATCTTATAAATGTATAATATTTCCTACTAAATAACTTCAACCCTAAAATTTAACGAAACATAACCTTAACGCTCACATGTGCCACCATGCCAACAACAACACGCGATTTTCATACGATCAGTCGAATCCGGTCGAATCGGTTGAACAGTGTTTAATCCACAGTTAGCCAAGGTAACGACCAGTATAACCGTACGGTCGGGCATAAGTACACGGTAGTGGGTAGGCGGCACCACGGATCATTAAAAAAGGATGCTCTAGTAGGCGGCACCACGGATCATTAAGAAAGGATGCACTACATTGCTTACACTGTATTCCCTCGTGAGCTCGTGAGCGCGAGATTGGTTTCAGTAGCAGCCCCTATGTGCAGGCCAGTTTTTAGCGTTGCTATTTCATGACGGAATATACTGGCGGTTATTTAGGAAGTCATCTTGAAATTTTGAATACTAATATCCCTTTACCTTCTCCCCGGGAATCACGCAGCCGGTGTGTGAAGCTGATCATTCACCTCCGTTTAGTGCCGAGATCAAGAATGGGGCAGTTATACTTTCAGGCCTTCACATGTCTTCATGGTGTTATGCTTATTTAATTAATTCTGTCGTCTAATGTCACTTTACTTTCATAAAATATCAATGTACACATTCTTGTGGACGTGTAATATAGTAGAATATAAGAAGAAAAATGTGGATTTTCTGAAAGAAAAAACCCCTTTATGTCATACCAACGTCTGACCCTAGAATGCAAGTTGCATCCGCCAATGGCCAAATATATTGTGACATGCCTGCTGAAAGCCAGAATTGTGAATCCAAAAGAGAACGACTTTGAAAACACATCAATTGCTAGGATGTAACAATATTTATATGCAGTGATATTTTCAGCCTTAGGCATATCGGCAAGCACCTGTTGCAAGTTACTGACTGAGGTGTTCTGATTCGTATAACGATAATAATAATAGTGATCTGTCGATGTTAGGTCGGCCCCTTGTCATTACAGCATGGCTTGTCCACAGGGTGGTTTGGAGGAGACGGCCTCCATATATGAAGAACAGCTGTGAATATATTGAATAAGCAGTCGTGGCCAGCCGAGAAGGGATGGCCCTCCAACCTGGGGGTTGGGCGTGGGGCTAAGAACTCCTCACCGTAAAAAAAAATAAGATTGTTACGACACATCATACAAGGCCTTGGACCTGGACTGATTATTTGGATAAATGACCTAAGCTAAAGAAAATGGACGTAATATTTGGTAGTTGGAAGGTAATAATTTTGTATAGAGTAGACTAGAAACATAACCATTAGAATATACAATACTATAATTTTTCCTTTGGTTCTGTATGGGTGTGAAACTTGTTCTCTGACATTACCGAAGAGAGATGAAGAGACAGGAGGTTGGAGAAAACTGCTTAATGAGGAGCTTCATAACTTGTACTCTTCGCCAAGCACAATTAGAATGAGCAAGACAAAGAGGATGAGATGGGCAGGGCATGCAGCACGAATATGGGCGAAGAGGAATGCATACAGGATATTGGCGAGAAAGCCGGAAGGAAAGAGACCGCTAGGAAGACCAAGACATAGGTGAGTGGACAATATTAAAATGGATCTTAGGCAGATAGGGTGGAATGGTATGGATTGGATTGTTCTGGCTCAGGAGAGTGACCAGTGGAAGCCTCTTGTGAACATGGTAATGAACCTTCGTGTTCCATAAAATGCTGGGAAGTACCTGAGTAGCTGCACAACTGTCGGCTTCTCAAGAAGTACTCAGTTCCATGAAATTAGTTAGTTAGTTACTAAATAATCTGTGGGTGTTACAGTCCATTATGAACCTTGGCCTCTGTTTTACAGTTTCTTAATCATACAGATACTCGGCAGGATTCCTTGGGTGGGGATCAGCCCGCCGCAAGGCCGCTACTTGCACAGGACAACAACATAAACACAGAATAAACGAAACTAACATACATGCCTCGAGTCGAATTTGAAACCACGACCCCAATGTTAGAGCGAGCGAAGACAATTCGCATCTTCGACTGCGTGGCCACCGTGATCGCCTGTAACGATATAACACCAGTAGTAAACTAGTAAATAGGGCCGAGCCATAGCTCAAGCGATTAGTCGCTGGCTTCCCACCGTGGCGACCCGGGTTCGATCCCGGGTCTGGTCAAGTGGGATTTGTGGTGGACAAAGTGGCGCTGGGGCAGGTTTTCGCCGAGTACTTGGGTTTCCCCTGCCAATCTTCATTCCACCACTTGCTCCACGATCACTCTCACCTATCATCTGGGGCTTGTACAATAGGCCAGAAGTGACCGCAGTACAAGGGACTTAGTTCCATCCCACCAGCAATAAAAAAAATTGGTAAATTTGAAAGAGAAATACTTCTTTTATGTTCTCGATATGTATATTGTTTCATGAACGAAATCAAAACGAAGAAGACGTTTAAATATAATTTTTTTAGGTAATAGCTATGTACGAAAAGCCTCTGCGGTCTACTGGTTAGAGTTCCTGGTTACAGATCCAGAGCTCCGGGTTTGATTCCCGGTGCTACCTGATTTTTTTCTGAGAAGTAATGTGTCTGGAACGCTGTCCACTCAGCCACATGATGATAATTGAGGAGCTATTTCAAGGAAATAGCAGCTCCGGTCTGGAAAACCGAAATTAACGGCCATGGGGATTCGTTGCGCTAAAGTTGGTACTCGCCGACAAGCGGCGGTCGCTCGGTCGGTATAGTTCGCTTGCGGACTAAAACCACAGAGTTTTATATAGAGTCTCCGAATTTGGATATCGAGTGCTGTTCTGCTACATACGCCTCTTGTCGTCTGTTATTACTCTTATATTTGTATGTTTATTTACTTTACTTCTTGCGTGTTTTTTTCTGTGCAGATTATTTTGTGCTTTTGAAGATTTTGTAAATTACTCGTATTTATGTCAACAATATGTAAGCACCCTTTCCTACTTTCAAGCCTAATACACGCCATGTAATGTGTTCATGTGAAACGGACTCATGTAGATGCATTGCTTCAACCCCTCTAGGAGGTAATTGAACCGGTAACGTGGTACGCATGCGCCCACGATCTTCTATTCGTAGTACCCATTTTTGTCACATGTGAGTATTGGAAAAAAGCTTCTTATTTTATTAAATTGTGGAATATTAGTGGTTTTATCAGAGGTTTTTGAACATTTTGTCACGTGGTAACTGTTGAAGCTCTCCGTAGTCGACGGTACTCACCTCATTAGTGTATAGAATTGACTTTACGCGAAAGCCACCGGTAGGTTTACTTGACATTGCACGTTAAGCTAGAAACGTTCTTTCCCGCCATGTTGGGTTTGCTTTCATGAAATTTCTGTATTTGTTAAGAAGTTATAGTAGTGGTGTGAGGTTTTTGTGTTGTGTGTTAATGTTAAAGAGCTGTTCAGTGTAGGTATGGGTGTTAGAGGGTCTCATGATATTTTAGTGTGTACGTATGCTTGTGTGCATTCTTGCAACATTATTTGTCTATTTTAGAGTAATTCGGCATGGGTATTTTATCTTTCAAGAGTTAACATTGGTGTGAACGGACAGTAACTTCTAAGTCTGCATGGTGTAATGTAGTAATGCTACAACTGGGAGTTTTAAATGTAAACAAATTTATGGCACATATTAGCTTAGGGTTGCGAGATACCATGTGTTAATTCATATTAATAGGTGTGATGAGAGTGATTTGTATAAACTTTTGAGTGGTATTTAAACATTTGTGATGAGTAATGAATTTTATATTGTATAATTGATCGAATGCAAGTTAATGTATGATGCTTTAATTTGGGTGGGTTGGAGGTCAAAGAACTTAGAAATTTTTATGGTAACATGGTCATTTGTAGAATCTGTGACAGGCACGAGTCTTTTATAACAGACACTTAAAATGTGCCAGTAGTCACTAAGAGGTTTATTATAAAGTTATTTAGGGCATCTGTTTGTTTTAATAATTCCCTACCATTCTGGTGTGTGTACTGCACATGATAGCTGGATTAAGTCTGTGAATGGATATTAGTATAGGTTACCATGTTGTCTTAATAATAATAATAATAATATAGCCATTTGAGGCTAAGTGCTAGAGTATTTAAGACCAGTAAATTAATGAGGCCACTCAAAATTTTAGTATATGTACTGCCAGTATTGTGAGGTGTAGGTGTGTTGTTTTTGACTACTCCAGACTACCTGTTCTGATTGCCACTTTGGTATTTCAATGCATTGTTATCTGATGGGGATTTTAGTATTCCCATGCATAAGTTCTTGTGGAGGGATATGCCTGCCCCCTATTAGAGGTCTGTTGCATGGTTTCTGGGTAGTCTGAATTCTAGTTCTGATTGCTGGCTCAGTATTTCCTGCATTGTCATTTGAGGGGCCTTTTATAATTTTTTTCTTCTGTGCAAGGATTAGAAATATGTGAAACAGTATCTGCTCTTCGGTTTTATTTGGCAGTATTGGCCCCCCCCCCCGGTATAAACAGTGCCAGGGTCTGCGCTAATAGTTACAGGGTGGTTTTAGCATATCACCCTATTACTGAGAGAAATGGACTGTGAGAATCCTCTTTACGGGCTGTTAATGTCAAATTTTGTCAGTGGGTTCAGTGCATGGGTGGAATGACTTGTAATAAGCATGGTTTGGTTCCAGGGTCCTTTGCAGCTGTGGCATGCACCTGTGTTACAGAAAGGATGTTTTCTTGAGAATGTGTTCTTTTTGCTTTGCCTTGCAGTTTTAATAAAGCATTTTTTTTTTTCACATGTTTGATACATAGCAATAAACTTAAACTCAGAACTTTGATTACCCCATTTAGTACATTGTATGGAGTAATGCACTGCACGGTCCATAATAAGATGGGAATAGCAACCATGCTACTAGCCATCCCCATATTCACTGACTCATGGACATAGGCAAGCAGACAGTAAGCTGTTGTTGTTATGTTATGTTGCTGGCACATATACACATTGGGTCTGAATCATCCCCCCCCCCCAAAGAAATGATTTCCACTTCATTTTTTGTTTTGCATTTTCTGTTTAAAGAAATTACATTTATCCCAAATTTCTGTAAGGGCCGAATTCTATAGCCTGATCACATGTACCACTGGAGCACAGTGAACATTTACAGTGTCTTCCCTCAGCAGCTGATTAAAGAATTCATTATTCTGAATTTAGAAGCTCATTACCATCATCATGGAGGCCCACTGAAGGCAGATACCCTAAGCTGCCTATTTCTCTGTGGGCCATCTTAATGTTATCTACCCTTCTGTCAACAGGCATCAAATAGTCTGATGCGACACTCTTGTTCTAGTCTTGTATTCAGGAGATTCCTGGTTTCAGTCTTGGGCAGGTTGTGGTTAGTTTTAAGTTCTGTGGTTTTCTTGTCTCTTTGAGTGAATGTTGGTATTTTGCCTTGAAATAGGCTGTGACACCTAAATTCCAGTGTTGTTTACTTGATTACTGTCCCATTTGACATTGACTTCTGCAGTTGAAATGGTATCAGTAAGTAATTTTAGACTTAAGCATACATCTGAGTTTCTGAAGAGGCTCTTCTCATGTTTCACAACTGAATTTTGTATATATTTGTTACTCGTTTGTACTACATACCTTACCCAGCTCATTCTTAATTTAACCACACTAGGATAATGTTCGATGTACAACATTAATATTTGATGTATAAGAGAACTTTGCCCAATGTGGCAGTAAAAGGGTAAAGAAGAATGCAGAATGTGAAGTTCATTGTGCAGTTCATACCTTTTCCCTGTTCATTGGCCTTTGGTTCTACAAATTTCTAACCCAATTTTTAATCAGCCTTTGTGAACAAATTGCATGTGAATTTTTGTGAATGTGGTTATGCATTGCATATTTTTTATTCTGCAGAGTAACAGTATGTACTTTAATGATAGCTGCAAGGTGGCTATACCAGGGCTTGAGGTGGGGCGGGATGGCATCCTGGTTCTTTTCTAAATGGCTTAAAAGCATCCCGTTACTTCTTTGGCAGTAAATGCAATGTACAATACCCAGGGCTTGAGGTGGGGCGGGATGCGGCGGGATGGCATCCTGGTTCTATTTTCATTCCACCTCAAGCTCTGGGCTATACTCTATATGTTCCTTACTAAGATATCCAAGATTACGAGTCTAGAGTTACTGGCGTGCTCTATGTTATGGTTTGTCAGTGCTTGAAGGTCTCGCAGAGTAAGTCTGACATTTGCCCTGGTTGAATTATAATAATTCATCACAGCTACCCATTCGCAGAGACATGATTTTGATGTTTGGAGTTTGTACTTTGGAAATTGAACTTAGAGTACCCTCATGGCAGAAGGGCACTTTCTTTGTTCCTTTGCAACGTACAGGGGTCTTTGAGTGTGCAGGAACCTGATGTCTGCATCTTTATCCAGGTTTGGAAGTTCATATTTGTGTTTTTTTAATGATGTCAATATCTGACAGCAGTGTAGTCAGCTGATATACTGGGCATCACAGCCATCCAAAAAATTACCTTGGTAGATTACCCAGTGTATTGGTCATGGTTTTTATAGGTTTTCTTGGTATATCTTTGAACTAAACATGGTCTGATTTGTGATCAATTTTATTTATGTATGTGGGAGTTTGTTTTGTTTTAAATTGCCTTCCATGTACCGTATTACTTTGAATGTAAAACATTTCTCATTTTCCTCCATTAAAAAAATGAAGTGCATGTTAAGGCACTATTCACCAGTTTGCGAAGAAAATGCTGGTCCCCAGGGTGATTTAAATATTTAAATCGCGGGTCCACAAAGTGTCAACTGTGAATCAACCCCAACTTTCAGTTTATTCATTGCCTAACATTCTAATTGTTAAGGTGTGTTCAGTTTTTACCCATGGAAAAGTGTTTTACTTATGATGCCACATTCAAAAGAATAGTTATTCTATGCTCAGAAAAGTTATGTAATTGTGTATTTGGCAGAAAGTATACAGTAAGTGAGGCATGTGTATGTCATTGGCAAAATATAAAGCAAAACCGTTTTCATCTCTGAAAAATAGAACTCTGGACCAAGGAAAATGAGGAATGAGATGCCTCCGTTTTAGAGTATTTCAAATATTTACAGAATAAGGGACATCCTGTGAACTAGGGCAGCCTTAATGTCAAAAGTAGAGGAATGTGCTAGAAACAGTAATATACCTTTCAAGGCTAGTTGTAGATGGTGTGAAAAGTTTATAAAGAGAGAAAACTTATCATTATGATGGACAAAACTTAGTCAGAAACTTCCTTTGGAATTCAAAACTAAACTGATCAAATTTCAGTGTTTTGTTATTGGATTACACCAGGGGTCGGCAAACTACGGCCCGCGGGCCAACTCCAGCCTGCCGCCGCTTTTTCTGCGGCCCGTGCGCTAAGAATATATTTTACATTTCCAAACTCTTAAAAATGTCAAAGTGGGATAATATTTCATGAAACAAGATAATTATTATAATCATCATCAGTAATCTGTCAAGACGACAGGTCCACAGTCTCTTCCAAAACAATTCATCCACTTAATGCGATCTAGAGCTTTCTCCTTCAGATGACAGTATCCTCTTCTGTCCCCAAGGTCATCCAGTAACTTCTTACGTCTTCTTCCTCATCTTCTTGTCACTTCTATCCGCCCATAGGAAGAAACCTATGTTTTTTCGAACATATTGTCTATGGATGATTACGCACTCCAACGGCCGACCTTGAGTTGAGGAGTTGCGAGAATTGCCGTGTGTGGCGCTTCTATAGCTTCCCATTCCCACGTTCCTTCGTGGCCCCAGATGTGATGTCATGCAGTGTTACGAATGCCACGTGTATCGCTGTTCTGTGTCGTTTTAATACCAGTGGATATCCATCATGTCGCTGTTGAAACGACAGAAGAAGAGACAAGTGGACTTGGAATGCCATGCTTTTAAGGCAGAGTGGAGTGAGAATTATTTTGTTACTGAATTAGATGGCAAAGCATTGTGTTTATTGTGCAGTGATACTATAGCTGTACTAAAAGAGTACAATATACGTCGGCATTACCAGACTAAGCATTCGGCACAGTATTCCCAACTCACGGAAGGAACGATCACAAAAATTATAAACTTTGAAACGGAGTATTTCATTACAACGCAGTTTCTTCACGAAAATGAAAACTGAAAATAAGGCTGCAAGTAAAGTAAGTCTACAAGTAGCTCATTTGGTAGCCAAGGAAGGAAACCCCTTTACTAATGGTGAGTTAATTAAATCATGTTTGATTGTAGCAGTTGAAGAAATGTGTCCAGAGAAAATGGATTTATTTAATAATATCAGCCTTTCCGCGAGAACAGTTGCCCGAAGAGTTGAGGACATTGGTAGCAACATCACTAACCAATTAATTAACAAGGCAGATGATTTCGAGTGGTTTTCCTTAGCTCTTGATGAGTCAACAGACATTACAGATACTGCTCAATTGCTGCTGTTTATTCGAGGAGTCAATGCTGACTTTGAAGTGACTGAAGAATTAGCTTCTATGAATAGTCTGCATAGAACAACTACAGGCGAAGACATTTTCAAGGAAGTTGAAATGTTAACGAAGTACAATCTGAAGTGGAATCAGCTAAAATGTGTGACAACTGATGGTGGTAAAAATATGTCTGGAACAGGTAAAGGCTTAGTTGGAAGCATTTACACAGCTTGTGAAAATGCAAGGTGTACAAGGCCTATGGTTATTCATTGTATCATTCACCAGCATGTACTTTGTGGCAAATATCTTAATCTGTCGTGTGTTTTAGAACCAGTCGTGTCAACGGTGAACTTCATTCGTTCTCGTGGGCTGAACCATCGTCAGTTCCGTGATTTTCTGTCAGAAGTGGAAGCCGAATATCCTGACTTACCCTACCACACAGCAGTTTGATGGCTCAGCAGTGGTAAAGTTTTATTAAGATTTTTTGAACTCAGAGCAGAGATTGAAATTTTTCTCAATGAGAAAAAACGCCCTCAACCACTATTATCGAACACTGAATGGCTTTGGAAATTAGCTTTTGCTGCTGATATCATGGGATTTCTTAATGGATTCAACTTGAAGCTACAAGGCAAAACAGTGCTAATATGTGAAACTTATACTGCGGTAAAATCATTTCGACGACAACTGGCTTTGATTGAGTCACAAATCATGGCAAGCTGTTTCGTGCATTTCCCATGCTGTCAAACATTAAAAGAAGAAGTGGATTCCCCATTCCCGCACGAATTTGCAGGTGATATATTTTCTGAGCTCAAAAAACAGTTCCAGCAACGTTTTTCGGATCTTGATGCAAGTGCAGAAGACATTTCCAGATTTGAAAATCCATTTAACTGTACAATTGAGGAACTTCCACCTAACCTTCAATTGGAAGTGATTAATCTGCAGTGTGATAACATGCTAAAAGGCAAATTCCAAGAGAACAATCTAACAGAATTCTATAAGTGTCTTCCAAGTGATGAATATGGTGAATTAAGATCATATGCTCGAGGTTTGATCTCTGTATTTGGTAGTACCTACCTGTGTGAAAAGACATTTTCAAAGATGAAATATGTAAAATCTCAATACAGGTCAGCATTAACAGACGAACATTTGCAATCAATTATGATGATAGGGAGTACTAACTTTGACCCCCAATTTGAAGAAATGTTATCTAAAAAAAAAAATTTCATTCATCCCATTAGTAGCCTAAAGCTGTGTTTCAAACAATGATTGTAGTTCCTTTTGTATTTTTATTATGTTACATTTTCAGCAGTAAATTTGTGAAAACTTGTTTTTTAACCTGTTATTTTAACTGTACCGACCTTTAAAGATCCTCGAGTTTGCCCCTTGGCCCTCAGAGTGTAATGTATTTTATATTTGGCCCTTTACGAAAAATCTTTGCCGACCCCTGGATTACACCAAAGGAATACATACTCTTTCCAAATCAGCAATGCAGGCGGAACTGCAGTTTTTTGGACGTGCCTCACAATTATGCCATAGATTTCAAAGGGGAAAAACAAGTGGCAGTAAAAAGCTTGGTAAGAAGTGCCAATCATTATTATTCCAAAATCGTTTTTAAAGTGCTGTTTGTCTAATGTGGAAGATGGAACTCAAGATGGCATTTTTTGGGACGACAGTGAACAGAGTGGTGAGGGTGGATCTTCAGAAAATGAATGTACAACTGAAGGTTCACTGGACAAGCTTCAAATTAAATAAAACAGATAGAAAGGAGTGTATGTGTACTGGAAATTTTACTTTTCACTTTAAACATGTTCTAAATATTTTGTTTTAATTGTCATGTTTTACACAAATCACTGAAATAAATACACCTTTCTTATTTTTCCTAAAACCTTCATTTTAAAATTGGATGCATCTTAAATTGGAGGGCGCCTTATATTCGAAGTAATACAGTACTCGTATTGTCACGTGTTGTGTATGTCATGCAACAGATAACTTTAGGTGGGTCTCGATTTAGCGCATCTTTATTGAACACACGTGTTTACACACTATAGTTATCACCACTTGCAGTATCCAATTACTGCTTTCACTATATCTCGGCCAATACTAGACTGCTTTTGGCGACTGCTGTATTCCAACTAACTCTGACCATGGCTGAATTCCAACTGTCTTCAGCAGCGGCTATCCCAAGACTGTCTCGGCGAATGCATTGCCTTGTTATATATCCGCGGCCGTTGCTGCGCAGTGAACCTTCTGTTGTCTATCACCGGGGAAACACTGCTTCGTTGATTCTGCAATTCCTACACAACAGCCCACTGTTATTTCATTGTCTCTGTGGGAACACTCCGTGTATTCGTCATAACCATGGAGACTCATCTCTGTGTAATGGCTCACTTAGAATTACAATACTGCTATTGTTACTTCTTATGCAGCGGTCTGTTCTAGCGTTTCCATGGTGATAACTCTTGTGGATCCCAAACATGTGACAGTATATTATTACATCATAGATACCTAAGTAAAATTCATCTTAAAAGGTAAAAGAAAACCATTCTATTATATGGCTAGATAAGGTGCATCTAGTTAAATAAAGATGCAGAAGAGTGTAAGGCTGTCATCTGTTCATGAGCAGGTGAGACAGAAGCAGAGTCCAATAACAAATTTCAAAATATGTATGAGACTTCGTACATGTTTCAATAGAACTGTTAGCCATGTCCTGGAAATTATGTCGAATGATGGTATTTCATGGCTTCTCTAAAATTTTATACAATGCTATGTTTTGTTTGTGTGTAAACTTAAGAGATTTTGTGCAGAATAATATTCTGTTCCAAGGTTGGATGTAATAGTGCATATTTGCATATAGGCATTCAGTACCCTGCAGGAAAGGAAAGGTGTCTAATATATTACAGCTGAAGTTAGAATTGCTGGAATTTTTTTATGCATATTACTGTAATCTGTTCAAGTTGTCTTAGTTTTGTGACTATGTAAGGTATCAGAATTATTGGGATAGGATTGAAGTCTTGTTTTTTGATTGTGAAAAAGAGCATTAATATTTTTGTTGGTATCGAAAACTATTATATACATACACATTTTAAAATAGCCATTGTTGTCATAACATCATAAACATATGGTCAAATGCAGTTTCTCATAAAATCATTCCATCTAACTCTAATTCTTTTACCAGTTACATAATTCTGTAGGTGATTGAGTACAGTATGCGGTAGTGTAGTTGGGTGGGGCACTGTGCTACAAGCTGGGAGGTCACAGGTTCAAGTCACTATGTGGTGGATTTTTTTCAATTTACCTAATCCTTCCATCCACACTATGGCCCTGGGGTCGCCTCAGCCTCTAACAGAAATTAGTACCAGGAATCTTCCTGGGGGTATAAAGGGCAGTGGGCGCATAAGACTGACAACCTTAACGAAATCTGTGAGTCGATTGCCTAGAGATGTTCGAGCCTCGACGTCTCAACCCTGTGGGCCTTCACAGCCTGTTACAGGGATAGCTTTTCCTTCCTTTTTACATAGATGGCATAGCTCAAGAAAATGCAGTAAAACGGTTTTGTTTACTGTTTGATTTATAAACCTTGAAGGACATTTTGGAAAAATGTGGTAATGGCAGTCATGGCACTTTTGAATGCACATTTAACATAAACAGCTTGATGTTCTTGCAAGTAATATGCAAGGTGTTATCAATGAATTGACAGTCTGCGTTCATATTGTGCACACTTGTACTCCAAATGTAGTGGTGTTTGTGCTATATTTAAGTGATACAAATTATGTTTCCGGCATTAAATGGCAGTAGCATGGGACTAGGTTTCTCAATTTGTACACGGTTGGTTACAGGATTGACTAATTGGATCGGAATGCCTTATTGCATATTTTGTTAAGTGTTCTTTTCTGATTTGGGAGAGATCATTGCTCAGGTGTGGACTGTGATAAGTTGTCAGTTACCCCAAAACAGGAATAAAGCCAGCTTACAGAATATTATTTACACAGTGAGTTTTCTAGAGAGCACAGTCATCAAAGGAACCTGCGTTGGACTGACCTGATGGAAGGGGTGCCTGGCTAGTTTGCCTGAGTCTTCACTTGCAAAAAATTCCATTGTATTAAGCGTGCCTAAAATGGGGTCAAGAAATATTCTTTATCGGTTGTTACATGCAAGTGTGTGGAGACTGATTACAAGTTCATTTTTAGTTACAGAGTTATTAAAAATTGCCTTACTTTGAAGAGTGGATTGCATGAAGAATATTTCTATGTTCATGATGTGAATCTGCTGTGTGAGAACATAGATACCATAAAGAAAAACACAGAATCTGTAATTTATAATAGTAAGGAGGTTGGTCTAGAAGTAAATGCAGAGGAAAACTGAGCATATCTTGCTGTTTCATCACCAAACTGTAAGGCAAGATCAGCATAAATGTAGCTAACAGATCCTTTGAAAATGTGGCACAGTTCAGATATTTGGGAAAGAGAGGAAGAAATAAAAATTTGATTGAGAAGGAAATTAGGATATGCAATTTTGGTAATGCTTGCTACAATTCAGTCCAGAACCTTTTGTCTACTTGTCTGCTGTCTAAAAACATAAAAATTAGAATATACAGAATTATAATTTTGCTTGTGGTTCTGTAAGGGTGTGAAACTTGGTCTCTGACATTAAGGAAGGAACATAGACTGAGGGTGTTTGTGAACAAGGTGCTGAAGAGAATAGTTGGACCAAAGAGAGATTGGAGACAGCTGCACTGTGGAGCTTCATAACTTGTGCTCCTTGCCAGGTATAATTAGAATGATCGAGTCAAGGAGGATGAGATGAGCAGGGCTTGTAGCATGAACGGATGGTATGGCTTGAATTGATCTCGCTTGGGATAGAGAATAGTGGAGGGTTCTTGTGAACACAATAATGAACCTTCAGGTTCCATAAAATGCTGGGAAGTTCTTGAGTAGCTGCACAACCAGCAGCTTCTCAAGAAAGTCCCAGCTCCTTGTAGTTAGTTATTACTTCTGTCATCTTATAACATTTAACCTTGCATTTTTAAATCTGCTCAAATATAGTAATGTATGAAGTTTGCTGTGATTCTGTGGTTTAGTGGATTTTGTGGGAAGCAAGTAGATTTAAGTTGCATATCTGGAATTTTGATCCTAGATAATTGTGGTGCAAGAAATCAGCCATTTTCAATTCCTACAGGGAATTAATAAAAATTGTCTTTACTTTAGGAGAGATGTACATTGTTCCTCATTTGTTTTTGCAGAGAGCTTCTAAGAAATTACCATCATGGCAGATATTGAGGACACCCATTTTGAGACTGGAGACTCTGGTGCATCGGTTACGTATCCCATGCAATGCTCTGCTCTTCGCAAAAATGGATTTGTCATGCTCAAGGTGAATTCATGATAAACACTCAATTTTTATTTAGTAGAATTGTAATAATTTCCAGAGAACATATAAATGAGAAATGTATTTCTCCTTTTTTCCCTATTCACTATGTCATTGTTATTTTGGTCTTGGATTAACTGTGAATTTAACCTTTAAACGACAAAAGACACCGTATGTCGTCGCAGATATAAAGGCAGCGGTACGAATGATGCCATGTGGTGTCGCAAAGTCCGCGCGTGCGGACGTTATTTGAAATACATTTTTAAGGTAGAAAATAATGTCCTACTTATATAATTTTTGGCCACCATCTGCATGGAATGTCTGTCTACCCACCTGCGTCATCTGCCGGA